AGAGAGAGAGAGAGAGAGAGAGAGAGAGAGAGAGAGAGAGAGAGAGAAAATATATATATTTACATTTGAAACCTTTTTTTAACATGCCACGCCCATAGAAGTTAGAAAAGTTCTCCGTCTTTATCGTGCTCAAATAAGAAGTACACAACCTCAATCGCCAGATCAGGTCAGTACACCTCGTCCCTAACCCTAAAAAGAACACTTTGTTTCTGCTTTTAGAAACTAGAGGAACAGTTCCTGCTCAAATGCCATCTTCCAGGTATTTGTTAAGCTTCATGAAAAGACTTTAAGCTTTTATTCAAGCTACTTGGGTAGCCACAACTTCCCTCCCCTCTTGGCTTCCCAACGGGTGTGACCTAATTTCTTTGACCAAAAGAGTTAATTTGCACTTTCTTAGTTTACTCACTAGAACTGAGCACGCGTGGTTGTAAAAGCGAACGATTGTAAATCAAGGCCCCTAAAAATATCTCTGTTCCGTCTTAAAACGGAGAAAATATTGGATGTGCCCACTGAGCATTAAGACCAAAAACTAGTCAAAGAAGTGATTAAAAATGCCGCATGTGCACATACCGTACATGTCTTAGATAAAAACCTATCGTACCTTTTTCTCAGGTTTTGCTGCGGCTGCTGCTGTTGTCCCTCTATGTGTAAATGAGAGCTGAATAAACCTCACCCAGTAAAACATTAGTAATGTGCCCAGTGTGTACACACAAACACACACACACACACACGAATAACACTGACATAAGTTTGAAAATTGGACAGAGGTTAAGAGTTGTGTAACGAAATGAACAGTCATGGTCGAGTGGCCCGGGCATGACACAGCAAAGCGTGTGTTAAAGATCCAGCCCAGAGTTTTACAGCATAACTTTCTTAAAGGGACATAACTGAGAGCACTTTCATTCAAAATGTACCCACAATGCTGAAAAACGTAGAGGAAAGGGAGGGTGAGGGTAAAAATAATACTCCTCCCTGATCCTCTGATGGACTTTTGTTTTTGGGAACATGCAGTGAAAACATGCTGCTATCAGGTGTATCTAACAGGGGGGTTACACGTATTAAGCTTTCCTTATGTAAGAGGATGAGGATACATCACTGCACGGTACTTATGAGTGAACGTATGCAGACTGATTACCGTGGCTCAAAGTCTACTTAGACAGAGCCGATCACCTCTGTGCACTGTTTCTCTTGTTCTGACCCCTGAACTCCCCGATGACAACTGGCTGCTTGTGATGCAGTGAATGAGTTTATGATCGTATCAAATGAATGATTTCATTCTCACCGACTCAGTTACCTGCAGTCGTGATCACAGAAGGGTTTTATGATTTACTGACATGCATTTTATTATTATTTTCTTCTACTTTTTTAAACGTGTCATGCAAAGTGTCTCAAACTCTTATTGTGTGTGTGTGTGTGTGTGTGTGTGTGTGTACATATCCCATCATTAGCTGTCATATAAATAATTAATGGCATGTCCTTCTCGGCCCGCTCTGCAATTGCACGTTTTGTGTCACCTCAAGCAAACTGCAGGCCTCAAAGAGAACCGCCTTGTTGGGAAACCAGAGCAGCCATATAACAGACTAAACATGGGAAACTGCCAGTCAAACCAAGTGGTTACACACATATATATATATATATAGTTTGTTTTTAACGTCTACCACACTGGTATTCAGCAGCTCGTCACCTCTGTGCGGTTTTGCAGCCACACTGGTCCGTCCCCCTTTTCTTTCTCCTGCATCCTTTTGCTCCAGCTGTTGCTCTGGCGGAGGATCGTGAACTTCCTGCACCAGGTGTTCCTCTCCACCGCTCAGCAATAAATCTCAGCTCACAGCAAACTGCTGCCGGCCGGCCGGCTGCCTTCAACTCAGACACATTCTAACGACCGCAGTGAGAGCTGCGAACCCCTCTTGAGTGGACAATTGGCAAAGGCCTGTGAAATCACGCCCCCAAACACCTGGTCACTTTCTGAGGTCTTGTCACACCTTCAGTCCTGGGATCCGGCCGTCCTCTGAGCACCATCAGCCATCAGTTTATTTGTTTACTGACCCTCCCCCCCCAGCTGATGCATACAGCACAGATCACTTTTCACGGCAACTACAACTACATGCACACTTTTTGCCAAACTCTCTTGCTGTGATAATCCAATCACCATAGTGTGTAATCAGTGTAAACACAATCATATGTGTTTAAATCCATAATAAAAGCACCACTTTTATTGCCCACAAGCAACACACTTATCTAAATTCTTAAGATGTTTTTTTCCCAGCAGGCTTTTCTTTATCTAAATTCATGCAAAACTGCACATTTAAAAGCAGAGGACAGAGTTAACATACCAACACTAATATCTACTTAGTTCTCCCATTCAACACATATGTCTGCATCTACGTCAAACAGCACTTTCAGCCCTCGTTTTGTTCAACACCCTGCAGTGTTGTGATGTATTCTCCGTGTCCGCTCCGTCACAATTTAATCCTCAAGTCGAAGGCCGAAAAAACTGTGTAATTAGAAGACGAATGCCACGCTAATCCTTTTAAGCCAAATTAATGCACGCCACGGAGGAGGAGGCGGGGAGATTAAATTAAACTGATCTTACTTAAGTGTTGTGAAACATTTTAGGCGACACTGTTACAGTTACAGTAAATAAATAGCAGAGCTAGAAGAGACAGTTCTCTGTGAGTGGAGCTGACTGCATGAACTGAATATAACGACCACTTTAGTAAACGAGACAGTCTAATGTCGTAGTTTAACTGTAGTCTGGGCTTTGACACAAAGGTACATGAACTTACCTTTGGTTATGCTGCGTGTTTAAGACTAGTCAATACCAATTATGTCAACATGCTAGTATATGTTTGTTCATTTGACACGAAAAAGTTTATATTCTTACTATTAAAGAAAAGGGCCAAACCCTCTCAGTACTATACTTCAGTACAGTTTTGAGGTACTGGTACTTTCTATTTTATGCTACTTTATACTTATTCTCCACTACATTTCAGAGGGATATATTGTTTATATTGAGGATATAAATATCATGATATAACACTGACATGGCTGCAAAAGAGTATACGTTTAAAACTTAACCAGGCCTATAGTTTGCTTCTCATATTAAGCAATATTTTAAAATATATATCTTTTTTCCATCACAGTATTGTTTTTTTTCTCTTATATTAAATACTTCTTCCGCCACAGTTTCCATCATACAACCAGCACCCATCCCGTCATGGAGCTCTTCTTTTTAGTGCCAGTTGTTCCAGATGTTCTCTCCTCCTATATCATATAAGAGTCGTGCCAACTGTGACACACGTGTCTGTCTGCATTACCACAGTGCACCACTGCCATGGCCCTGGCAAGTTAACACAGGAGAACGGTATACAGATCAGATTTCTTCCAGCCGTACGTGGCAAACCCCGGAGAGAGCCGAGCCCTTTTTTTCGGATTAAAATAACCCCCAAAAAACCCCAGTAGGCTCCCACATGTGTACCTCTCAAGGCTCGTCAATAAATAAACAACGTCAATTCCCCCCCCCCCCCCTTGTTTTTCAGCTGTCAATCACAGCTCCGCACGTCAGCTATCCGCGTATCGTTCGCACGAAGTTTGCGGCACTCCATAAAAGTTACTTTCTGCGTCGGAATGGTTTGCGGGAGAGAGGGTCAGAGGAGACACACCAGGGGCGGTTCTCTTAAAACACGTGAAACCTGATCTGACCACAGCGGTCCGCTGCTCTGTGTCCGAAACTTTTCGCTGCTGATAGACAAAGATTTTTAACTCACTGACATACAGAAAAAAAAGAGTAGAATGTATATGTCTATATTTAAACCGGTCATACGTTCGTCAGTTAGAGTAACTTACTTTGGTGCCTTTCATCCAGAGTCAGCTTTTTTCGGCCGTTTTTTTTTTTCTTTTCACTTCCCCGCTCCCTTTTTCCAGATCCCCCCCCCCCCCGCCCCCCCGCAGCGCTCCCGTGTCCCGGTGGTTTAGTCGGTCCCGCCGGGTCTACATGAGCTCTGCTGGATCCCTCTGCGTGTCTGTGCGGTATATTAACTGGAGGCTGGAAACACTGGGACACACTCGTCTGTTCCCATCCCATAAAGTCCTGCCTGGCTTCGGCTCGTTTCTTTACCACCATAAAGTCCACCAACGTTCAAAACGAGAGCACTTACGGTTGATAGCTTTCCAAAATAAAAGGCCTGCTAAATGTTCTGTTCATGTCAGTTGGTGTTTTCTTTGGCGACTGTTGCTAATGGTGATTTTAAAGTAATGTAGTGTTAGCATCCTATTGTTAGGAGGTGCCGCTTGTAACCAAATTGTATTTGCCTCTCTAAACCTGCCGTTAGGGACTTGTCGCTTTGTTCGTCAATAAACTAAACTAGCATTTGCACTTTGTTTAGCTAACGTTAAATTGCATTTTTACACACGCATACACATTGAAAGAGTATACACTGAAGCTGTCTCAACATATATTGTCTCGTAAAGGCAATATACTTAGACCACACGATCCAGATTTGGCTCATTTCAACGTTACGCTTTTATTTTTGCAGGCGTGTAACTTCCGGTCTTGGACCTACTCTTTTAGGTAGTTTTGACGCTGCCTGTCTGTGCGCACTCTAGTGGAGACACCGCAAACAAACCCACATGAAAAGAAAAATAAAGTACAGCGTTGCACAACAAGGCGGTTTGCTTCGTTTGGCATGAAAAACACATTTTGATGAAACTGATAAAAAACATAATGTGAACGGAAACCCGGACCTTTCCTGTTGCTGCACACGCAGCTTATGGTTCTTCACAAAGACGAGCATTTAGTGTGGTAGGAAGGTTTTGCAAAGACAGATCCTGCAGGTTTAAGTAGATCATTTAAAACTTTAGGCTATTTTTAAATAAAGTTTCACATGTCATTAATGTGTTATAGGGGTGAAAATTTAATTCTGACTATAAGTATTTCCAAACACTATTCTAGACAAATAGGTTTAATATTAGGCTGCAGGAGAGCAAAACATAAGCTATAGAAGGCCTACTTCTAATCCGCAAATCCATGGAAACATTAGGTTACACCCTGTTACATTGTTATAACAAGTTATCTAGAAGAGCCAGAAACACAGAGGTCAAGATTGTGGTAAACATCAGTTGCAGCTCACACAACACTCTTCATCTGCACCCTCCGCCATGGCTTTCCTCACGAGAGCATGGCAGTATCAGCATGCATTTCTACATGGATACGTGCACTGTCAAGGGCTCATGCATAGTTTTTCTGAAGAAAAATAAAAAAGATCACTTGTATGTTCTCTCAAGAAAAAATGCACATCATACAGTAAGCTGTGATGGAAAGGGGAAGGTAATTTGACATGTCATTTGGTGTTACACGTGTAGCAAAAAACCTGATATATGATGGTGAGTAGCCTGAGGCAGACAAGACCAAAGTGGGCAAATACATTCAAACACAATAGCTCATCACTCGTGTTAAATTATTCCAGAATGTAGCTTCAACAGTTTTTATTCTTCAAGTATAGTTTGCCACAGACAGTCACAGCACACTGAACCCATCGTGTGTCGATCAATAAAGTGGAAGTAACTGTCACTCCTGCACCAAAGGCCTACTAAAGTAAACATTACCTCTTTGTTTTAATGTAGCCTAGCAAGAAGGGTGGATGATAGTAACAAAAGAGGATTAATAGTGGAAGTAGAGTTTTGCAAAGATTTAATTACAAAAAAGATAACCATATAATGGATGTTAGCTGCTTAAGAAAGTTAGACAAATATGCCTATTAGACAGAACTTCACAGCTCTTCTTAACTGATTTGTGCTTTATAATAGCATTATGAAAAGAGAAGAAGTTATTGAATAGTTTTTGCATCCATAGAGGTTAATTTTAAGAGATCCACTCCCTTTATCCCTGTGTACCATACAGTAAGGCTCTTTCCCCACCAGATGGCACCAGAGCTAAAGCCATCCTCTAATAAAGTCACCGTGACACACGTCACAGTGAGGGCTCCAGAAGCAATTCAGAGAAACTAACCTACTTTTAAACACATGAGAGCTTTCACTGGAAGATGAAAAAAACAGTTGGCAGACACAAGAGGTCAGTGCCATATTGCAAAAGTTAATAGCATCACAACAAACAGTGCTAACTTTGACCTGCACAGTAGTTGTGACCCTGAGCATGTTACTGTATTTCGGTTATCTCTTCACAAACCTCCATGTAAATTATGCTCAATATAGGGCCTGAGATTCACATTGATCCTGCACAAATCATGTTGAATTTGTAGTCCCAAAAGGGACAAAAGCGTTTAAGAGATTCTAGTTTATCTTTTTTTTAATCATATATATATTGTATTATTATATTGTACCCACACTGCATTTTCTATCCTCCTTGTTCCACGCAGACATGTTTCAGGTGGCTGTATTTTTAAATGTGTTTTTATTATTTTTGCTTGTGGAGACTTGTGTGTCATTCCACAGTGTCTAATAGAAAGCACAGAGCTGGTCTCAGGAGCAGCATCCGATGTGTTGTGTTCACGGCTCACTGGGTAGACATACTGCGCTGAGTCGTCATTTCTTTCTGTTCTCTATTCCTGGATGCAGGACAGCGGCGTCAAGGTGTTACATTTAAGAGGCTCATCAGCTTATGTGGGATATAGGTCAACAAAGGTGGAATCACTTACCAGCTCCTTGTGCACAATT